CACACACACACACACACACACACACACACACACAATCACAGTGTGGGCAATTTAGTATCAATGTCTCCAGAATTCTGTGATGGTCCAGTTCCTGCTGACTCCTTGGTCCAGATTTAACCCCTGATGGCAGCTGATCTCATTCACATGTGAAAGTGTCCAGTGAGCTTAAGCTCAGTGTCATGTGATCAGGTGTATGTGTACATACCCGCTACCAAAAGCTTTTACACACCACTGGTTTTACCGCTCTTATTTTATAAAATGTTGATTTTTTATTCTTGTTAAGCATTAGAAAGTTGAGTAAACAATTATGAATGAAAATACAAGTCAAATAAAACAAGTTTCCTTTATACCATGGAAAGAGCATGTAACAGTGCAAGTCTGACATTCAATTCACTGGCTGTGTGGTGATGGCATAGTCAAATTCTAGGCTGTCCTTTAACTTTAAATGCACTAGTTAACAGTCTCATCCCATGAAAGAAAGCAGTATTTGATGTCCCTTGTAGAAAGGATGCCTTGAATATTCTCTCCTGTTATAACTGCTTGAGGATGTTACTTTAATTAATCAAAGATATGGCATTTTCTTGCTAATAAAGGTACTCAAATACTGTACTGTAAATTCATTTGTTACTACCTGGGAGAGCGTCCCTGCTCATACCTGAGTATTTAGTATAACGACTGTAGATGCATGATGGTTACTGCCAGGGAGAGCGTCCCTGCTTATACATGAGTATTTAATATAACGACTGTAGATGCATGATGGTTATTGTCAGGCAGAGCATCCCTGCTTATACCTGAGTATTTATTATAACGCCTGTATGTGCATGATGGTTACTGCCAGGGAGAGCGTCCCTGCTNTGCATGATGGTTACTGCCAGGGAGAGCGTCCCTGCTTATACCTGAGTATTTATTATAACGACTGTATGTACAGGATGGTTACTGTCAGGGAGAGCGTCCCTGCTTATACCTTAGTATTTATTATAAGGACTGTATGTGCATGATGGTTACTGTCAGGGAGAGCGTCCCTGCTCATACCTGAGTATTTAGTATAACGATTGTATGTGCAGGATGGTTACTGCTAGGGAAAGCGTCCCTGCTTATACCTGAGTATTTATTATAACGACTGTATGTGCATGATGGTTACTGTCAGGGAGAGTGTCCCTGCTTATACCTGAGTATTTATTATAACGACTGTATGTACATGATGGTTACTGTCAGGGAGAGCGTCCCTGCTTATACCTGAGTATTTAGTATAACGCCTGTAGATGCATGATGGTTTCTGCCAGGGAGAGCGTCCTTGTTTATACCTGAGTACTTATTATAACGACTGTATGTACATGATGGTTACTGTCAGGGAGAGCGTCCCTGCTTATACCTGAGTATTTATTATAACGCCTGTAGATGCATGATGGTTACTGCCATGGAGAGCGTCCCTGCTTATACCCGAGTACTTATTATAACGACTGTATGTGCATGATGGTTACTGTCAGGGAGAGTGTCCCTGCTTATACCTGAGTATTTATTATAACGCCTGTAGATGCATGATGGTTACTGCCATGGAGAGAGACC